TAAATAATCTAATCTTTATTATGTTAAAGAATATTTTAATTTAATCGAATATTCTTGATAAAACATAAATTCGGTAAATATTATATTATAAAACAAACTTTGATCATTTTTAGAAAAGTATATGAATGTTTTAAAAAAATTAATACAAAATCTATGGATCTTTGTAAAAAACTTAAATCCTAACTTTTATTTGAATATATATATATATATATATATATATATATATATATATATATAAGAAAAAAATTACCATGTATTTTTATAATAACAAAAAGATGTAAAAATAAAGTAATAAACTAAATAAGTTTTAATGATAAGATAAACAAAAAAGACACAAATTTAACAAGATTGGATAGAGCATATTGAGACTAGTTTAGTAGAATTAAAAACAAAAAATATCATAACTCAGAAAAAATTATAAACACTATAAATAAATTCAATTTGAGAATCATAAGAATTATAAGGCCATAATACACTTTATATATAAAGAACTAAGAAAAAAGTTTTAGCATTGTATTTCGACCTTTATTCACATGTGGAATATAGATTTGAATCTTATTTTTTAAAAACAATATAGCCCAAAAAGTGATAAGACAAGCTACATTTTCTCAGATTTTAAGATTATGAATAGGTTTTAACCACAAATATCTATATAATAAGGAAGCCTTGGCATAAGACAGAGACAAAAACACATGAGTTTTCATTAGTATAATAATAATAGTATAAATAATTTTATGTATTATATATTACAAACATATCAGACCAAATAAGATATCAAAGTAAGTAGATTTTAGTAAATTAAATTTCAAGATTATTTATTTTAAAAATATTATACAGCAATATTTTAAATTAAAATTAAAAACAAAAATAATATATTATTATTATATATATTATTAATTATTAATTATTTTTGAATTATTAATTATAATAATATAATAATAAATATTATTATGTATATATATATAAATATATATACGTGTGTGTGTGTGTGGCCATTTTAATTTTTTAACTGTTATCTTCAAAGACAAGCATCGTTGGAGATAACAGTTAAAAAATCAATATGGACGAATGTATTTCGAGAGAAGACTTTGAATTGCACAAGTGTCAAGCTTTTGGTTCTTTCCCAGGTTTCAAAATTGCACGGGGAATGAGATTGTTGGCAAAGAGTGTGGCACACCTTGCTCCCTCTTTTGAGGATGAATGGATGGATGGATGGATGGGTAAGTGGATGGATGGATGGGTAAGTGGATGGATGACTCACCCATCCCAGAACATTCTAGAAACAAGCTCCCACTTCTACCAAGTACGTAAACGGGGATGCGTTACTTTTCCACGTTGATTATGAACAGGAGAAAAAAAGGACTGATGGGGAAACCATCCATCAGATTCATTTATAGACATACATGCATCCAAGAACAATCATCTACCACAATCAGTCAATCAGTCAGTCAGTTAGTCAGTCCACCTGTTGCGAGAAAGGGAGGGGCCAGCTGGACAAGACTTCCCCAGCAGTGTAAGTGTCAGGTACTTCCACTGTCAAAGGCCCCCACTATGGAGTGACCAGACGGAATTGGATAATTGGGGGAGGCAATGCCAACGGCCGGTTGTCCCACCCGGTCACCCCACCTGACCCGGCCCGGCCTCGCTAAGCCAGTGAGAATGACTGAGTGCGTGAGAGCGAGCGAGAAATAGCGAGAGACAGAGAGAGACAGGACAGCTGCCCAGTGAAGATTCGGATTCATTCCACCTGGACTAGATAAGACCTCCTCCTTCTCCCTTTTACGTTTTTGTTTTATTTGTTTGTGTTTTTTTCCCGTTTTGCAATGTTTCACGAGAATGGGCAGGCAGCAACAGAAAGCTGGCCCCGCTAGTGTTGTCCTTTTGTGGAGAATGGCACTGTTTGTTATACATGGGCTGCAGCAGTTTTGGGGTTTGGTTGTTTCGGCCTCTTCGGGCCAATGGTTGTGCCACAGGTTCGGTTCCAGACCTGCAGACACTTTCCGTTCGGTGGGTTTCATTAAATGAACGAAAAATAAGATGCTTATATCCGATATGGATGATATACATCCATGTCCTCGTTGTCTTTTGTAATTTGGTATAATTTGTGGGTGTTTATATAAAATCCGAATCTATGCCTTTTCGTGCATACTTTATTTATTCATTCATTCATTCATTTGTGTAAAATAACCACGTGGGTTTATTGGAATGTTATACTTATGTCACGCTCCAAATAGTTAGTACCAAAAGATTCTTAAACCACCTACTACATTCACTTTTTAATCTTTTTCTGCAGAATAATCATAATGTTGGTTATGAAAATTTTAAAATTCAACGAGGAATCTTTCTTTGGAAACTTGGATTTGTGTGCATAAACATGTATACTTGATTAGTTCCGACTAATCAGGAGAATTCCAATCCCAGTGTGTGTAAATGCCACATCATTCTCATTTTACATGAGAGAAACATTTTTTCTGTATGCATTGAAGTATATGAATGCAGTGCAATCTGCTAATGTGTTTTGTGATGTGACTCAGATTTGTAAATATGACATCTGCACCAATAACAGTTCACTTATAAGTCTTTGAAATGTCAAATTATATATATTCTGTATTTATATGTTTCTTATCACCAGTTTACATCCATTACATATACATGTATATATTTTGAATAGTGTATATGTTGAATTGTTTTAGGTAAGGTTGTTGGGAAAAAAGATTGGATAGTGTCCAAAAGTATGCACCAACTGTTGTCAAATACTACAATCCCACAAGGAAATTAAACCATTCTCTCTCTCTCTCTCTCTCTCTCTCATTCTCATTCTAATATTACAAGACATCCTTATACAAACAGATTAAGATGTGCTAACACATGAATATGCTACTAGAGTGAGTCATTGTTTGGACATGAATGTGAAAAAATGTATCATATTAAATATTGATGAACGAGTTTAATATACCACATGGATTTATTGTAAAATATTACACTCAAATACTGCAATAGATACATTTATTATATAATATATTGCTTATTGGTAAATGTTTCTAAATTTTGTACTATTTGAATTCTCTGTAATTGGTTGTACTATTTTTTTTTAATGTACCAATGAAAAGACCATGGAAAACTTTATGGTCTTCAAAAGCTTCAAATGGGTTCTATATTTGTATGTATTAAGATTTTTTGACTAAAAAATATTAAAGTGTTTGTTTGTTTTTGTCTTTGTTTTGTTTTGTTTTTTTTTTTTACAACTATTCTGCAAACTGTAAAAAGAACAAAAACAATTAAAAATACCTCAACCTTGTTTGAGTGTGTGTGAGAGAGAATATTAATATGCATATTTATGCCTCTAGGCTGCATGAAATTGAAATAACAAATAAAAAAGAATGTTCCTATTGTATTCTATATGTCAAGGGTTTTCTTTAAAACATCTCAGCTATTTTATTATTACACACTTTATTTTAATGATCCAATTCGGCAAATTTTGGTAATCTGTTAAAGCTTTGAAAACTTGTAGAATTTGTAAATTTCACTTTCTTTACAAGCACAAGTGATTTTACTGCAATGTTGTTATTTATGTACTTCATAAATTTTTGGTGAAAGCTGTGTGCAATTTGACACGTTACTATTGACATTAAAAAAAAATGAATCGCACATTCTGGGGAAATAGAAATGAAAAAAAGAAAAAGAGAAAAAGAGAAAAGAGAAAAAGAAGAGTGAAAAAACATACTCATCAAAGCAATCTCGACGATCTTTTTGCAACTTTGTGTTTGAAATATAATATCAGCATATTTAGAATAATGCACTTGTCCCAAAATGCTATATACTAGAGAAGATTAAATTAAAAAATTTGATCAATTACATTCTCGAATAAGTTTATAATATATTCTACAAAATCTTCAATCTAAGACTTTGCACTTGATCTTCGTATGGGCCATTTCACACTAAACCTTAACAACCATATTCTTGCAATAACGTGAATTTGCATAAAACATCAACTAGCATGTTAAATTATGTGAATTAGTCATTCCTGTTTTATTTAACAAGGTCATTCTTAATTAATTTTATCCTCAATACTGGTCAACAAAGTGTCATCTGTTTTATTTTATTATATTATTGAAAAACAAATATTATCCATTGCATAGCTTGTGTGATGAGTCAACAACTTTTGAAAGTCATGTCTCCATGCATTGAATAATGTAAACCATCCCGGACGTTCAACATAAAAGTTGATGTCTCAGTTTAGATGGTACATCCATTCACCACTCCCTTATTCATCGACACATTCATCCACGAAGGTGATTGAATACCATACGATCGGATTCGTAGTTTATATAATATATTCGCTTTGCCAGTATATTCACAATACAGAAGAATATGCTGGATTATAAAAGTGCGAGCTGCCGGGGCACATCAGCACTACTTCAATAGCACACGTTTCCTCGGAGCTGCAAACCCAACGAGGTTAAACGGGCGCGGGAGCCGCGGCGGACTCCGGCAACAGCACAACGGCGCCACTAAATAGTGCAGGGTTCCTGGCCATTCTAATAACCCAACACGGAAATCAAATTACAGCGCACATAAGCATTTCACAAGGAGAGAGGGAAACTCCACGGAAGAAACAGGGAAAACGGCGCGGAAATGGCCCTCGGAACCCAATGTCTAATAAACAGAGCCCGAATTTCATTATCAGCAAACGCCCAGGATGCTCTCTCGAATGCGGCCAAGAGATGAGGAGCCGCTCGCTTTATCTTATTCAGGTGAGCTCATCGCCAGAAACCCGTCTGAAAGAAAGAATGCTAGTTAATGGTTTGGGAGTAAAATTAGCAAAAATGTGGGCCTGGGCAGGTGAGAAGCGCATGGAGAAGGAGTGGCGCTGGGTTGCATAGGGAATCAAAAGTGGTCTCCACTCCGACATGGCAGAATGAGGTAGAGGAGGGGAAGGTAGGGGAGGGTGGGGGGGGGGGGTGGTGGCGCAGAGCAGGGGCGGATGGCACAGGATGAGAAGGTATCTTCTACGGTGTAACCGTGCGCCGCTGGGTTTCCATCCTGGTTTCCAACCTCGTTGCCAGTCCAGCCTGCTCGTTTATCTTCTTCGCCCCCCCTCCCTTGGATCTTTGTTCAGCTTGGCTCGGTCTTGCTGGGGGCTCCTGTAGTTGATACGAAGGGTTCGGTTCAGCAGCTTCGAGAGGAGTGAGTGAGTGAGGAAGTGATCCGGGGTTTCCGTGGTTTTTTCTCTATCGGACTAGGTCGATCGACGTGTTAGTTTGTTGCCTTTGCTGTGGCTGCAAAAACTTTTGAGTAGCAAGGATATCAGCTGCGTCGTGTTTGGACTTCCATCGTCCACAGCCCTTGCTTCACGTACAGAGGCACTTGGCGGGTTGGTTGGAGTGCATCTTTGCTGCGGAGAGCTGTCTGTAGCTGTGTCGAGTTGTGGTCTTGGTATTTTTGCGGGATTCGAGAGAAAGAGGAGCTTGGAAGAATGTTATTTATGTTGGAGTTGGAGCAGAGCTAGGAGGTGGAAACAAGGAGGGTTTGCTACATACTCCCTTTTGCACAGGTTCTGCGTGGAGGTTGAGTGTCTGCAAAGAAGAAGAAGCTGCTCATTTGGAACATAAGTTGTCAAAATCAACTGAACCGCTCGGGAATGTAATCAACAATCTCAGATTATCGCGCATCTTTAAGGTTAGATTTCAGTTTTGGTTCTTTTACCTGTCATGAACTTCATGTGATAATGTTGGAATGAGTCGTGTAGGTGGTTTTGCTGTGGTTAGCTGCTATACTTCGAGTGGTAGATCGAATCGTGGAGTTCACGACCTTCCGGCTTGCAGCGTCGAGTCGTTTCTGTGTGCACTTGACTCTAGTAAGTGCTTTGCTCTATCGAATCATTTCTCGCACGCTTAGTCGTTCCAAGCGAAGCATCTTCTCTCATTTGTTAGACAAGAGAAGTGTCTTGTTCTGATGCTTTACGATCAATTAGCATTATCTCAAAGAGTTGGTCAAAGCGTCTTGGTGCTCGCTGAACGTGAACGAGGATAGTTTACGCACTTCGTATTGTGATATTGTCTGGTTCCGTGTGGTGCGTTGTGAGGAATTCTTTAGAATCTGGTCTTTTTGCGAAAGCCGCGAAGTTAGACCCGCCGAAAATTTGGATGTTGAAAGCAGGTGCTGAATGTGTCTGACTTTCTTCTAAGTTAATAAACACTCATTTTAATTTTCGTGGTAGTTGTGAAAGTACTGAGATTTGGTAACGTCGTATCTACGTCCGAATGTCTCACGCGCTGTCAGTTATTGCAAGCTTCACCAACGTAACATGCGTTCCTCGACTAGTTACGCGTTTCGGCTTAGTGAGTCAAATGACTGATCGCTCTTGTGGTGGTTCATTGCGTCGGTATGCTGGGATTATGAACCCATTTTGAGAGCGCGATGTTTCTGACAGTGAACGGTGTGTGTTTTCACAGGTCGCACAAGGTCGGAACGCCAGTAATCTGCTCACTGTGCAGATCCCCAAAGAAACTGTCCTTCAGAGTTGCAAGTTATTTGGAGATCTCGCTCTACTACGGTTGTGAGAGTGGCGGTTCACAAATTGGCCGGCCAGAACACTGCCCAGTCGACTCTCTTTCTCTTTCGCTCCGGGCTGATTCAGTATGTGAGCGAGTCTGCAGTGGTGGACTAAACCATCTTAAACCCGATTTACATTCATCTGTTGACAACATGCTATTCGGCTATTATTAAAGTGATTTTACATATTGTAAGTGTTCGCTTACGGTAAAGGCGCCCAAATATTTTGATAACTTGTTCTCAGCACTTGAGGTTGACATCAAGTAGTCACCATGCCTGAGATATTGCCACATGGCAACAATCGGGTGATCAAGTCGCTTAATAAATTCTGCGAGGAGTGTGCCCGGCATGGCTGCACAGACTGTATCGATCATGGAGGGGTTCCATCAGAGGATACTGTTACGAGTGTCCTTGGCAAGCGCCATGGTTCCTACAGGGATGCTTACGTAGACTTCCTGATCGCAAGGGACGACGTAAAGAACCTCTTCAGTCCTTCACTGAAGCGTTCTGTACCACCGTCCTCCGGCTTGAGCAGGACTGACATTCTATCTCATCCTCTTAAGCAAGTTTTTCCGACTGTGCCAGCTGTATCTACTCCGAGTGCTCTGCACTTGGAACCAGCAACACCTGCTGTCAGTTGTGAAATTTCGCCTTCTTCGAGTGGGCCCGACACACCCAGTGATCACAGCAGGTATATTTCCACTTATTTAGTTCATTTATTTCGTACATGTCTTCGAACATTGCGGGTGTAGTTCGTTTGGAGATGAATCAGTTCTAAAATATGCATGGATTGTAGGATTTACTATGCTTCGTTATGCTTTCACATGACAAGAGGTTCACTCTAATAATGTGATGGTTATGAGCCTTGCGCTGAACTTAATTTGCTGACCTGTGTTCTAATCTGCATTTGCAGGGACAAACTGCATGACAAAATTGATCAAGATAACGATGATACCGGCTACAGGGAGGGTGGAGTGCGGTATCGAGAGAATTTACGGAAGTTTGTCGTAGAATACAGGCCTCCACGTTTCAAATGGAAGCTTTGGATGGGCACGTACCTCACCATAGATGAGGGTCGTCGAGCATGCGACTGCGCAAGGTATTATGCCGGCCATGATAAGGGTGGGTTCTATTTCAAAGACTCTCCGGCGTTGTTTCAGGAGCTAGGGCCACTTAACCGCCCCTTCACCTTGGTCAACAAGGACTTCAAAGACAAAGCTTTCAATATGGAGCTGAAGAAACGTGCCAAGCTGGTAATTAAAAAGGTTCTTGATGCTCAGCGGGCTAACCAAGTGGTGGATGTCTCACGCCCGACGCCTTCAATGCCGTTGTCGAAAGCAGACATAGAGCAACGACTTCTTGCTCCTAACGCAAGAGCGAACCCCAGCTACCGAAATTCTGCCGCGCATGACCCACTATCAGTCGTTGATAGGCTTCCTACTTCCAGGCAAGAGAGCGTCGCCAAACCTGGTCCTGCACGTGAACCGTTTGCAATCATCGATGGGCTCCCCACCTCCAGCCAGGAGAGCCTCAGCATATCATACCCGGAGTATGAACGGCTCTCATCCTGTAGCCAAGAGAGCTCAGAAATTACTGGATCCCGCCATGAAGAGGCTGGAGTTGCCCAGTGTCCTATCGGTATTACACTCGAAGCTGGTGACACTTATGCAGGCCTGGACCCCTTGGATGCAACTCTGGATCCCAGAGAGTTTGTTACTGCATTTATCGACGGTTACAACATTGTACTCGACCACCACCCGTCGGCCAGCAACATGGATAACTACGTTGATGATGCAGAGAATGCGTTTGACGTGCAATTATGGCATCATGAATTTTAGCTTTTGTCTATTTCTTTTTTAAGTTGAATTTATTTTTACGGTTGGCTGAGTCTGCGTGCGAGGCTATTTCCCGGTCGGGATTTAGCACATCTACGAGTAAGTTGTGAGGGTTCGCACCACTTGCGCCTCGTATAAGTATTATTGGGATAGAGGATATGAAGGTTTCCCTAAGTTTTTGTCTACGATTATCACCTGCATCCTTCCAGGAATCAGTGTAGATGAAGGTTCTAGATGAGGTAAATACTGTATAAATGCGGCTACCATCTTTTGGAGCAAAATTCTTTTGTATAGTAGTGGCGACGCTTCGTTCGTCTTATTGCTCTTAGGCAAAGTCTTCTTGTACGAACAGTTCAGCTCCCTCCAGCTCTTTTTTATAAATGGATTTGCTTTGAGGCGATCCATTAGAGTCAAGTGTCCTCGTTGTCCATCTGCTTCGTTCTTCTGAAGCTTATGTCCATGTGTCCATCAAGTCATTCTCGACGATACTTTTATAGGGTTGTTACAATAGCAGAGAAATGGTGTTCGATTTCCTAGATAAAACAGTTTGTCCAGCCTCGGCTCTTTTCTGTAAAGTTTTATCTAATAGTCTTTTACTTCGCATTGTGCACGGGGTTCCCTTGATTGAAATCTGTTCTGGCATTTGATTTTTTCAAGCTTTCATGAGTAACAACCTCAACTGGATCGTCTGCCCTCTTACCAGTCTTCAAATCTTGAACAGGCCCAAATTCTGAGTTTGTTTAGCGAGTCCTCAAGCTTCAGAAGTTCTCCGTTTCGTTGAACCCTTTCAGATCGAGATAACTCCAACAACGTTCGAAATCTGCACAACCATCTTTTACAGTAAATCGAAAGGAGATTGCGACTATCACTCTTAAAGATATTGTTGAATCTCGTTTATAATTTTATGCTCCAGCTTTCGAAAGGGTGAATATTGTGTGAGTATTCAAGAAGGGGAATACATTGAATGGTTGTTTAAAGAACACTACAATTAAGGAGAATACATGTGTAAATGCAGTGGGAAAAGAAAAAAGAATACTCCAAGAGGAAATGAGGTTGTCTATTATGAAGTATCATACAAGATGATGGTTGAACGCGGCCAAGATTGGAAGCGTGTTGATTGTGGCCCCACCCATGTGGAGTTCCTTGCCCTTCCTTTCTTGTCTCCATCACTACATTGCAACAGGAGAAAGAAGACCAGTGTCCCATAGGGTGGCTATTTGATTCACATGGGCGGTGGGATATTTGACCAGGTTTAGGGATTTAGGGTTTGGTGTTTTCTATTTATTTTTTGGTTTTGGTTGTGGCTTCGTTTACTTTGTTTCTCATGAACCATTTTAACACTGGAGCACAACAACTTCATCATTCTAGAAGCACCTTCGAGTTGTGAAATTGTTGATTTGTGAGATTGTGCCACTTCATGCTGTCACCTCTGCTCAATCCACTCATGTGGTTGGTAATGCTGAGGACATTTAAATTGCATGTGGTTTCTTGTGATTTCTCAGAAAAATATCAGTTTTTTTGTGTCGATTCAATTTCAATTGAAAATATAAATGTATGAAATTGAAAGACAACTTTTTAATTTTTTTACATAGGTAATTGAAAATATAAATGTAGAAAATAACCATCTTAAAATAATGAAAACTCTTTGCTTTTTTATTACTATTATTTATTTTTTGACAATTATTATTGATTGTGTGCATGGCGGCTTATTTTATTCATAAGAAACACTACACTTTTGGCATTAAAGAAACTGTCAAATGAAATGTCAACTTATCATTAGTTGTGGGATGTATGCCCAAATTTATGGTCTTTCTGAAACCCAAAATTTGCAAATTTCATTATGTGCAAGTATCAATCTTGCAAAATATAATTAGTATACATTGCACTTTATAACTTATACATGTAAATTCGAATTTTATTTTTTTTTGTGAAAAAAACACTTCATTTCGTAAATGAGATATTTTGGTATTTATATTTGTCTTAAAAAATATTGTGATCATTACATGTCATATTTAATATAATCGGAATCATTGTCTTACATATTTTTTTTGAGTATAAATTAAAATCATGATCCGTGCTTATTATTACTTTAATATACTTTTATTTTATTCATATATATATATATTATGATTTTAGACAAGAAAAATATTTAGATACATAAATGGATATACTCAATGTAATTAAAATGTCAAATGTACCACTTTATTATAGACATATTTATATTTATAAGGTTTTGTACATAATAGTATTTCAAAAATATGATATTATATCATTTATTTTTCAAAAATTTGATGATATAGTTCAACATCATTAGCTTTCCTTAAAGATTCATTGTTGTGATCATACAAAAATATGCTATAAAGAGTGTGATATACTTGTTTCTATGTAATTTATATTCCTCTAGGATTATATTCTTGTATTCTAAAAAAACTACAGTTTTTTATCCAACACTCCAATACTATATATATATATATATATATATATTTTTTTTTTCTTTTTTTTTTATAAAAAAAAGATTTGTGTTGAAATTAATATAGCATTTCAATGCACCTTCAAAATGTTGCTGATCTAGACCATTGAAATGGATGGCAAGAGGACACTATTTGCAATCATATCATTAAATCATTCTATAATTTACCTTAGTTCTTCATAACATTTTAGTGGGATTTTATTTTATGGACCAAATCTCTATATAGAAGAAATCTCACAATCTTAATAATTTTATTTAAGCTACATTAAAAATATTATTGTGCAACTATATAAGTTTTCTTATGTACCATAATTAATCTTCAGTATTTTCGAATTTAATTAAATTTAACTTTTCCTTCATGAAGAAACTGAGACAAACAAGGGAAATTGATTACTGTTTTTCAATCACAACCCTTTGAATTGCAACTACTTTACGTTGCAACCAATTGTAAACTAATTTGAAAGGTGCTTGAATTCTTTCATGAAGACCAAATTCATTGTTTTTGAAATCCAAATAATGAGCATTTTCCCAATGTATGTCAACACTCACATGATACAAATAGTTACAAAGATTCATAACATTACAATAATAATAGCACCACAGAGTAATTAAAATTCAACAACTGTGAATAGACTACAGCTCTACTACCAAGACAAGTGTTTTTTTAAGAGAAAGATTGTGAGTAGTTTCTCCTATTCTATAAGTAATACTTGTGGGAAGAAACATCAACTTTTTGATCAAGGCTAGCATGGGAAACAGAGCCTCTAGCCTCTCCAAATAGAGCTAAGAGGGAAAACATAGTGCTTACATGGGATGCAAATCCAAGGAGACTCAAAAACAACCCAATGCTTATGTAAGGTACATGACTCATTCCCTTATGTTAAAATTTATGTTTAATTTTTTTTAGTTTTATATATGTCAATATTGAATATATGACATTTTAGTATCTATAAATTAGAAGTATAGCATGGTTTACTAATTGAATTGTTACATGGTGTAAATAAAATAAATTTGCAACTGAAATATAAACAAATTGCAACATTTCCAGAAAAATCATTTGAGAATAAAAGATGAAACATGAAAGATATGTTTTTATTTTTTTTATTTTTTATTTACTTTTTGTAACATTTTCTGGGTTAAGTTTTACACAAGGGATGTCAAAGTAGGAGAGTAGAATACCATATTGTGGCATATCCATGCTATGTATACTAAACAATGACCATGTTTGAAACCTTCAGTTTGACAGAACTTTAGAGTGTCAAAAGGATGCGTCAATGGAGACCCAATTGACTAAAAGGAGTTAGGACAATATGTATTTTGTGGAGGGTTATTTCCCTAGTCATTCCTCTATTGAAACATCCACAAAAAATAAAATTTTCATTAGAATAACAACAATAATGATAATAATAATAATAGTAATAGTTTTGATATACCTATTAAATTGGATTAATTTAAGTTTGATGACAATCCATCTTACACCCTAATACTCTTGTTACAAAGCAAATATAGAGGATTATTTAATCTCTACTGTATATATTATCTATCTATTTGATGTCGTGAATATATAATTAGTCCACAATGTCTAACTCAATTCCACCTGGAATTTAGTTAATTATTATTGTCCCCATTTCATTTACCTAGAATAGTCATAAATTATCAGGACACTCAAATTGTTAAAATCAAAAACAAAGGTCTCAAACATAATTAATGTCTAGATGTTCGAAATCCTACAAATGAAATGTAATTGTTTCTCAAATGTTTTGATTACCATTTAACAAAGGGAGAATTACGTGTAATCCAAGGAGAACAACCAACAAGGTGTGTGTTATCAACAAGACTTCATGTGTAAATGGTCACTTGGGCCATAAGCTCCCAAAAAGCAAAAAAAAGAAAGAATGTAAAAGGTCACGAAGAGGACGATAAAATGATATTTATGGATGAAAAGCTCGAACCCGTGCCGTGACTTCCAAGAAGACTTCCAAAAAGCGCTACTCTCCAGGTCAAAGTCATTATCGTGTTTACTCGATAAGAGTGTGTCATGGAGATCGCAGTCCATGTCGAGATTGCTGACCTGGCGACCCCGTCGAAGCCACGTGGGATTGGTGATAAGAGCCCCACGTGCTGCACGGAGACAGTGGCCAATGGGAGGAGTCGAACCCGCGACCAGTCATTTTTCAGCGTGGTGATAAGGCGTTTGCGTGATTATAGGAGCCGTGGCCTTAAAGGCCATCATCGAAGGGCGAGCCACGGTCACAGGAGAAGGACTTGCCATGCTCCATAAGTGCGTGGAACGTGTCTGCCGCAAATGTCACGTGGGAGTGGGTGCACCAGTTGGGTCCTTTTCACACTGCTGCCTGATGACCGAGGTGTGAAAAGCCTCTAGTGCCGTGCTTTTCAAATCCAATTCTGGATCTGCATCGTTGTGAGTGTGAATAGAATTTGGCATCATTCCCATGTGCTTTTAATTTGATGCATTTTTCCCCAAAATGTCAAAGTTTGTTATTATTGTCACTATGATTTATAATATTATTACTATATGTATGTATGTATGTATTTTTTGTTATTTTTATTTTTTTCTTTTTGTTGTGTGTTTCTGTTCTTTTCAATCAACAGAGAGGGTAATTTCATTGACTTTGTTGATTGATAATTCCATTGAATTTAATTTAGCTTGTCATTCAGTATTTATTCATTTGTTTGATTTTTTTTTATATCCATCTTAGTATGTACACCGACATCCCTAATTAGTGTTAACTAAACTATTTGCAAAGTGTGGAAAAGAATTGTGTATGGTACAATCTTTTTTCTTCGAAGTAGATTATATAAAATAAAATAGATGATTTAACAACTTAGATCATTTTAAAACTATTTTTTTTGATGCTTTATCATGATACATTAGTAGGTCAAATCTTAAAATTAGAAGATTAGAAAAATAATCTAAATAATAATTATAAGTTTATAATCCATGTAATAGACCTGTGCTTTAATTTAATTACAATAACCATTAAATCAGTTGTCTTGCAAATTCAAATATTTATGTATTAATAGAATTTATTGTTTTATTAAAAAAACTATGAATAGTTTTATAATTTTTTATAATATCAAAGATTATAAAATTTAATCACACACATTAATAATA